TTGACTCCATATTCGTCATATCCGACCGCTCGAGTCAAAGACAACAGTAATTTATCTATCTAGGCACTTTTCGATACTCGCAACTCAAGAAATTGACGTCTGGCCCCGTGGTGGAGCTAGGACGTCCCGACTCGGAGGCTGTTGGCACAATTTGGAGCCCAGATTCTGAATACGAGGCCCTCCCCACTGGTGATGAAACCCTTACAAATCGTTATGCTAACGGTGCTCGTTGGCGACTCCCGTGACGTTCTCCATACGATATTCGAGGCGAGGGCGTGGAAAGTCACGAGGATGACGCAAACAACAGCGAGTGACCTCGACAGTGCATCTGTGCGTGCAGACACGCAAAAGTATCAGTTTTCTGTGATCCCGACGATGAATAAATACAGTTGAGGATGACGAGGAGATGCTACGTGGAGGTGAGATTATTCTGGCTGGCGTGTCGCACGTAGTAAAGGTGTCGGATTAGGTTCAATCTATTTGGTCAGGACCAGATTATGTGTAGTAGTACTTGAATGAGGACGTTGCTGTAATGTTCGCACTACGGGTACCGTACTGTGACCAAGCTGTCAACAAGCGATAGGAATATGCAAGGGGTTTTTAGGGGTGTCTAATATGGCGGCCTCTTATTGCCGTCTATTTCTACTACTACATTCCCCCCGATCTCTCAATGTTTGGGAACGAGACTAGTCTCCACTACGTATGAGCAGCGAATTACTGTCTTCCGCCCTAAACAGTAATAATTACCGTAGTGTGTATCATCTCAGGTCCTAAGGCCTCAGTCCTGATCGACAGCTCGAAACGGTTCGAACGGAGTTGAAGGGCCACCCTGGTTCTGTCCATCTACGGTCCATTCTATGTGTACAACACAAACAAGTGGATGGGAGCTCGCCTTCCCTGTTAACGTGTCAACCCCTGTGCGTCAAACTTCATGCTTGGAAGCGGGCAGGATAACTCAAGTTTCATGTTGTGCATCACTTATAATCAATTAAAAAAAGGTTCCACACAGAATGGACGGGATTCTTAAAAATCTATAAGAAGTGCTCCGCATACGAAGTGGCGAATCATTGTGCACTCACCACTGCCAACATTCATGCGTCTCTCTGTCCTCACTCTCTTCATTGCGCTTCCTACAGCAGCGTACGCCCGACAGGATGCACCAGTCTCCGAAGCAAAATGCGTCCCCAGGAACGAGCTTTGCAATTTCCAAGGAGCTGTGTGTTGTGAGGGTTCGTCGTGCAGAGCGCTCCGCCCAGTGTCTTTCCCAAACGGGACCGTAATTTATCCTGCCGTATGTCTTATAACGCATCTGCTCTGATTCACGTTGGGTACTGAGCTAAATGCAGGTTTGCATTCCTCCCAACGCTATTATACCATGAGGCGGCGAACTCGATCTAAGTAGGAATGGCATAACGGGGATACGGGGGAGGTTCATGTCACGGTTGTGCTGGGTTTACTGTATATGCCGTTAGGCGTCGCACTACCTCTGGACAAGTGGTCGTGTTTTCACACTGTCTCCTCAATGTCAATAAATAGCGAAACCTCTAATAGGGATAAGAGACTCATACCACGCCAATGGTTCAACTCCCTCTCCATATCCTCGATGAGCCCACGGCGCAAGGACAGGGTGAAACAGTGATCCAACGGAGACAAACAAGAGGGAGGGACGTTGAGGGCCAAGATTTAAAGTTTCAAGCTTCAGCACGTCCCCGAGCCATGCGACAGAAGAAAGTGGAGGATTGTTCCAGTGAAAGATAAAACAGTATCGATGTAGTAGTGAAGGAAGGGAGCCTAGGAGTCGCTGCAACTGGCTACCTATGATGTCTTGCGTCAAGCTGAACGACTCTTTGGCGTGCACGTGTGAGTCATGTAGAAATGATCTATGTTGTTGCAACTTGCGAGTGAACGAGGAGGGACGCGTCCGGCAGCCAGTTACAGTAAACTTATCTCCGCTCGGTAATTCCCGAAGTGGGATTTGCTCGAGGCGAAGTCGAAGTAGACCCACGCTTCAAGATCGGACTGGCTGCTGCAGGTCAGATCCTGAAGCATGGGTCCACTTCTGCGGCAGGCTTTAGACACGTTACGACTTGGAAGCAAATGAGCACATATTGCATCAGCGTACTACGACCCGGACATCTCTGCCATATCTCTCGTGCTAGCTGTTACAGTCATCTAGTCGAACAAGAATAAGTCTCGAATACGGCCCGCTACCAGAGAACCACCTGGAAGCCTCCCGTATATATGCACTCCTTTCTTTTCTTCCAAGACAAAGTGGACCCACCTCTGTTGCAAAGTTACTGTCTACGCCACCCGAAAACTGGGTATGGGATCCATGCTAGCCCGCATCGTCGAGTGGGAAATGATATTTGCGGGACCTTTTTCACAAAGGAGCCAAAGGAAGGGACTCGAGCACGTTGAATATTCTCTCACCCCTGCGTACGACGCAAGCGTACGTCGGGGCGCTGCGCAGAGTCCGGAAAAGGTCAGGCTGGTCAGCGCCCAGGTTACTGAATCGGGATTAAGTAAGGACATCCCCTCCACGCGAACTTCCTTATCTATGTTCCATCAGATCCTCTTTTTCAAGGCACTTCTCCCAGGGTTCTTCTGCTCATATGTTCTCATCATGTCTGACTGCGCAAGAACTGTACCGCAGTAGTGCCGCAAGGCCGCGTCAAGCCCGAGCGGAGCGTCGATGATGTATAAGAAGCTCGAGAACTTGGGGTATGACGTCCCCTCCTCATTCAAGCGTGAGTTCAGCGATCTAGCAACGGCGCGTGGCCGAGCACAGTGGTGTGCTCTCCTCTCCTCTCTTTACAAGTCACCCTGGGTCTTTGCTCATTTGTCGATACTACGTTCAAGGCTCCGCTGCTCTTACGGGGCTGTACATACGGCGATTATGTATTTCACTGTGGACAGGTCGTACCCTACAGCCCCTTCCCACTGCTGAAATTGTCTGCGCGTTCCGTTGACGCGGCGGTGGGATGTGCGTGTTTCTGGCATGCTCTATCCTCACTCATAGCATTGTGATACTGTATAGGTTTGCTGCATCTACACACTCCCGTGCCGAAGGGACACAAACCGTGTACCCATCCAAGACGTGCCCTGGCACTCGCACCAAGGGAGGTCGGCGGGAAACGTCTACTGAACTTGGACTCTCGAACTGATACGGGCTGACTTCATCGTTGGCGAAGATGAGGTTATGTCTGGGAAGATCTCTTCGTTGGTTTGCTGATCGTCTATGGCATATTGGTACGGTTGGACACCCCACTTTTGCCAGCGGGCCTTGCTTTGTATCGAGGAGTTTGGAGCGACGATCGTCGTCAAAGTTTCAGCAACAGGAGGGACCACAACGTGTCTGCAAGTTATTTATTTCACTTGGAAGGTAATGTCTGGCAATCGAACGACAGTTGGCGTTGGCATTCTTGTTCGGACTGTTATTACAATTACACGGTACGTTACGGATGTAGAATAGCCGATGGTGACCTGGCATTACCATGGGCCGCAGGCAAACGTCACCCCAACCGTTGGCAAAGCTGAGGGTATGAGAGCCTCCATTGGTAGCAGGGACGAAGGGACGACAATGCTTGGAACGTGCTAATTGTTTCCGGCTTGGGTCAGATCATCGATGTGGAGTAGATTATATTGGTGGCGGTGCATGCAGGATGCGTGGCCATGGAAGGTCCGATAAGGATGCCATGTTGTCCATATAGTGTCGTCTCCTGGATTCTCGAGGTACAAGTCTATGATTTTCGAGCTTCCTGTGCTGCAGGTGAGTGGCTGGTGGTGACCTATATTAAGACATCGCTTACTATATTTTATCTTCACCAGCCAGCGTGTCCGTCAAACAAGAATCACGAATTGATTCGCTTGCGGCGAGGCCTCGTTTGAATCTGAGAGTCCGGCGGCAGCTTGTCCTGCGCAAGGCGATTGTCAGAGCACTCCCATCGCTGCAACACAGGACTCGAACCTTCATAATCTGTAACGTTTCGTCCGCCCAATCGCGGAATAACCTTGCCTGTCTCAAGCGGGGTCTCTCATTCAGGCCATGCCCGAGATCAGCGGCGCTGAAAGAATAAAAGGGAAAAGATTCCCAATTGAGAATACATATGACCTTTGGGATTGAGACGCCCACTGTTCCAGCCTCATTTCAATCTCGGCGCGATCAGGGGGGTCCATCTCGGTTCCGCGAGCATCGAGCAGAACGTTCGTTCGGGTAATTTGCTGGTTGGCACGATTCGTGAGCTTCCTGGCTCGGCGCCGGATGAGGAAGAGAATCATGGAGGGCCCAGAGTGTGTTCTCTCGCTTAGGAGTCAGGGGTGACTCCTTGCTTGTGAGGCAGGTGGTAATAAGGCTACAATATGGGTGTCAGTTCGATCTCCAATGTCATGCACAAGTTTACGGACCAGTTGTGAGCCGATGTGAGGTTGTCACAGCGGTTGACCTTGGAGGGAGGAAACAAGCTGAAGGAGGGCTAAGCTGTGGCACAAGCATGCCACAACACACGGCCAGTCTCCGCCTCGCCCCGGTCGTCGGCAGACACGGCCAGGGTAATTGCAGTAACTCATTGTGCACATACTATTTACTACAGAAAGAAACGAGATATGAGCTGTTTTTACGGGGAAACACGCTGCGTATTTGTGCGAATAACCTTGACCTCTGTCATCGGCCACAAACGGCGGCATCGGCAGGCCGTAGCTTTGGAAATTAAAATTTTCACCGGACCGCATTACCTCATCTCACGCTCACTTGACTGCTTGCTTGGCTGGCTACGTACTTGGGAACGTTCCGAAACTATATGCCGCAGTGCTGGGAGGCTGAGGCGACTATAACAGACCATCGCACTTTGGAACTTTGACGTTTTAGCGTGGGTCCGAGGATTGGAAGATCACGCGCTGAGGCAGAACCTCACTCCAACAGATCTGGTCCCGATATCCCGATATTACCGTAAAAAGGAGATCAACTGCAAGAAGCAATAACTGGAATGCAAAAGAAAAGTACTAGCCCACCGCGAGGGTCGAACTCGCAGCCTTCAGATTACGGTAGGATGTAATCACCACCCGCCTAAGAGTCTGACGCTCTATCCGATTGAGCTAGGCGGGCGTTCGTGTTGCTCCGGTTGTGGACAGAAAAGAGACGGCGGTGGCTCGTGGCGTTCCAAAATTGCGTGTAATGCCCCACTGGCACGTGGCTACTTATGCGCTTCGACCTGCGTCCGAGTCTCCCCTCTCCAGCCGCGGCCGAATGAGCGCATCGATGAGCGGCTAGAATCTAGGTAATTGGTTGGCGCCACCCACGCATCCTGCTGGTGTTTGGGCTCCTTCAGGGCCCCAAATTTCTCTTTGTCTAGTTAGCTCTCGGGAACTCTATTTCTCGATAAATTGCTCGATGTTCTTTTCCTTGGGTTCTTCCTTCATACCCTCACCTCTACTATGTCCAATCGCGAGTATGGTGCTTCTAGCTTCGAGGACGACGATGACAAGAAGCTCGAGTCCTTGGGGTACGTCCCCTCCTTCAAGCGCGAGTTCAGCAATCTCGCGACGGTACGTGGCTCGTATCTATCCTCTTTTCTCTGTTTCAACAATCTTTACACTCCATAGATTAGCTTTGCGTTTAGCATCATGGCATGTCTCCCCCTTCCCATGCGAGATAATTCTAATTCTATCCTCCCCATAGGGCCTTTGCTCATCTGTCGCAACTACATTCAATACCCCGCTGCTTTTGGGGGGCCCTGCGTCAGTACGTCAACAAATACATACACACACTTCTATGATTCCATCAGAGTGATTTCCCATAGGCGACGTGGTGCTGGATTCTTGGAGCGACCATGTGTTTCACTTTGGGCAGGTCGTTCCCTACGTCCCGTGTCACCCCTCTTCACGAATCATGAATCAGGGTCATCCATTGCGGAAATCGTCAGCGCGTTCCCTACATGCGGTGGACTGTGTGTTTCTGCTGCTACTGCCCCAAACGTCACGTTCGCTCATAGGGTCCTGTGACAGGTATACTGCATCCGCGCAGCTCGTGCCCAAGAGGCACAGGCCAATTGTAAGCGCTTCTTTAGCTTATCCTACGCGCGCGCCTGCTCATAATACCGGAGGTTGGTTGGCTTGTCGGTTGGCTGAACATCCTGGGCCAAGTTGCCGGCGTTTCATCTACCGAATTTGGACTTTCAGGCATGATCTGGGCGGCTGTCGTCGTAGCTAAAGATGGCAACTATGAAGTCACCTCTGGCAAGGTCGTCGGCCTCTTTGCGGGGTTATTGGTCTTCCATGGAACCTTAGTACGTTTTGGGCATGTGCGCTTGGTGGAGCTGGCGGCTCCCGCATGACATGGCCCTTAAACGCCGTTTCTCCGGTTGTGCAGAACTGTCTTGCGACTCGTCATCTCGCAACCTTCACCAAGGGATTTGTTTTCGTGAACCTCGGCACCACCATTAGTGCGTCACAACCACCTCACAACCACTTGTTCTGTGCTGACGGGGTCAATTCAGTCATTATCATTGTCTTACTGGCGACGACGAGCCACCATGACATGCATCCTGCGAGCTATGTATTTGGCTCGGACGGCATTATCAACCAGACGAACGGATGGAACAACGGAGTGGCGTTCTTATTCGGACTGTTGAGCGTGCAGTGGACGGTTCGTGGAAGTCCATTCCAAACTCGGGTAAACTAATAAGCCTGTTCCATAGATGACGGTATGTTCTAGGTGCCTTGGTGTGATGCTTTGAGTCTCTGAACTTACAATGTAGGACTATGACGCCACAGCTCATATATCGTGTGTAATGGATTCTTTATCTCGGAACACCTTACTTACACTATGGTTTAGCGAAGAGGTCAAACGCGCTGCATACGCTGGTAGGATCGACTAACTCGTAGTGGTTTCTCCTTTCTAATAATCGTGGTTTCTAGCCCCGGCCGCCATCTTCATTGCTGGTAGGTGATTCGGAAAGGATATTACCCGAGGGCCCACGTTTTGCATTACAGTTATAGGAACAGGTCTACTTGGATGGCTGCTCAACATTGTGCTCGTTTTGTGTTCTGGTCCCATGTGAGTTCTTCTGTCTCTATTCTGCGCATCCATCCACGACAATGCGTTCAGAGAGGATCTTCCTGGGCCCTCTGGTTCAGCTTTCCTTCAGGCATGTGGTGATGCTCGACTCTTCCGTATTTTCCGGAACTCATGGGATATCAGATTATGACTCTGCGCATGGGCAAAGCTGGCGCACTGTTCCTTTGGGTGCGTAAACGATTATTTGCTTGGGCGTTGCTGAATCCTTTACAGACATTTGTGTGTCTCACGGCATTCTTCGTCTGCCAAACTGCTCTCCAAGCGTGCTCTAGGACCGTCTATGCCTTTAGTCGCGATAAGGGTATACAATTTACCGCCGTCCACGCTACGTGTACTGACCAACGGAATCCATGCAGGCTTCCCTGACAAAGGTTACTTTGGCTATGTTTCCCAATGGACCCACACACCCCTGCGCGCCATTTGGCTTACGACCTTGTTCAGCATTCTTCCCGGCTTGCTCGACTTTGCTTCTCCAGTCGCGGCAAATGCCATATTTTCCCTCACTGCAATAGCACTTGATATCTCATATATAGTCCCCATCGCACTCCGCCGCATATTCCGGCACCACCCAGAGGTGCAATTCAAGCCTGGACCGTTCTACCTTGGTGATGGATTACTTGGGTGGGCAGTTAACCTCAACTGTATTGTATGGACGCTGTTCGTTTCGGTGATATTCTCGCTGCCGACGTATCTGCCTGTGACGAAGAACACGATGAATTATGCGTCGGTGATTACAGGCAGCGTCCTCCTCCTGTCTATGTACACAGTGGCCTATCTCTCTTCCGTCCCGACAGTCCGGCTGATACCATCCCTCTTTCCCCACAGGATCTGGTACTTTATTGAGTACGTGGTTGCGTCATCATAAAACATGGAACAACCGATACTGAACCCCCTCTTGTAGCGGTCGTCGACACTATCATGGACCACATGCATATGTCAAGGAAAATGTCGCGCCTGCTGACGACGTAGGTGACGGTGAAAAAAATACCGTTGACAGCAATGATGAAAAGAAGATGGCATAAGCGACGTCAACTGTCGTCGGCTCTGTGCTACCAGATCATTGATGTGTCGAACGATGAAATGCCAGGATGCGATAAGTCCGTTATGGAATAATACCTTATCTGCCATACTGTATCGTTCTCGAGTTCAAGTTCGGAACTCTGCTCAGCTGCTCTTTGCCTCGTATATTATATACACCGGATAGGAATGGTTATATACTACATCACAATAAATGGCTTTGGTTGGTATGAGACCATGAGTGGCCTCTGAATGTGGCGTCGCGCAACTGGGGAACTGTGTGCGGGGAGAGCCTCGAGATCTGGGGTCAAGTCGGTGGCTTTTTCTTACCACAGTGTGGCCCTCAATCAGCATTTGGACTTTGACATGACATGACTGTGCACTCAGATGATGTTACAGCAGGGGTTGATCGAACGTTGATCGATGATCATGAATCTTCAAATGCCAGTTTTTTTGGTGGGAAGTGTCGTCTTCCTTCTGGGCTATTGGCACCCTCAGTTAGCGTGGGAGCTCAGCGCTCAGCGCTCAGATCTCAGAGACGGGAGCCTGAGCGAGACCACTTGGAGACAAGGCAGGACTCAGAAGAGCAGGCAGGCAGGCAGGCAGACAGTCCGCGAGCACCTCGGGGGCTTTGACTTTGAGAACTTGTAACGGCGGGGTTTGTTTTAGCCCATTGACATTGCCAAGCCTGCCGGCGGTCCACAATGTCATATATATACACGCACGCGAACCGCGGAGTGTCGTAAAGTAAAGAAAGTAAAAAGGGGATAATGGCCTGTGGCTGCGGCTGCGGCGGACATCTGATAAGCGATGTAATCGCTCGCGCTCTACCTTTGAGCCATGGTCATTTTCTATCAGAAAATGTCAACGTCAGCCCGAAATCAAAGGAAATGAACGTAAGATGAAAAATCGCCCCAAAGTCCAATCACCATCCATGCCGACAGACCCGAAACCGCCGCCTTCAAAAGATGATCACACAGTGGAAGCCCATTCAAATGGGCGGTTCTATTTTTGAAATGCGCGCAGTCAGAATTGCGCAGTCCATTTGGGTCAAAAGGGTCATCATCAAATTTCATCAAACTCTGAAATATGAGACCCTTACTGTAAGTTAGTAGATGCCGTCAACACGATTTCTATCAAAAAAGGATATCTGAAGCATTAACTATATTTATTTCTGTAGCGATGATGAGCAAGAAATGATAAAATCAGGGTGATAATCGAAAGACGGGGGTGTTAGTAGTACGGAGATGGTATTGTTTCAACTTTATCGTACAGAGGCAAAGTCCCATTTCTCCTGCAATAGTCGACAGGTGACCCGAGATAAACACAGCACACGTCGCCATCTGCTTGGTGGGCTCCCGCAACTCTAAGCAGAACTGATGACAAGGAGAAAAAATGGTAGGAGAGAAGGACGCCATGTCCAGGAACCCCCAGCACTTAGGTGCTCCGCTGAATCTCGTAAATGCGCCGTCTATGGCACTGCCGGGCGCTTGAAGAGGTCGTAAACACACGCACAGATACGGAAGATCGTCATCGTCATCATCAAGCCATCACACGGTCTACCATCTCCAGGCAACGACGACGGCCCCCAGCGCAGAGACGAAGATGGCAAGTGCGCCAGATAGCGTGGTATGTAACGTGGATGCGCCGGACAGGCTACCAGGGCTGGTCGCGCCTCGGATATTCTCCATGCCTGAGTGGCCATACGCTGTGGCGAGCATGCTGGGGTCGATGTAAATGTTGCTGCCGGTGTTGGTCGTGGCCGACGTTGGAAATGTGACGGTCGAAGAGGGCGAGACTGCCTGAAGAGAGCCGGAGGTGAGGAATACGAGGGCAAAGGCTGGTGCCGGCACGGGGATCGAACATGTGTTGGCAGATTGGTCACATTGCACCGTTGTCACGTTTAGCGTGCCGTTCAAGCGGCCGTCGGACTTCAAAGCTGCGCCCAGCGTCTGTGGGAGAGGTTGCCATGAGCACTGCTTGGGTATAGGCCGAGATGGTACGCTTACCTG